TCCTGAAGCCTTTTTTGTTTTTTTCCGAAAAATTGGAAAAATTGAAAAAAGAAAAGAAAATGATTGTGAAATGTTTTATTTTAACATGATGAATAAAATATTTCAAGACAAGGTGTTCAAATATTTTCCAAATCATTTCTAAAAAATACCTATGGTATCAGATTGATCTACTTTCTGTGCACTGAGGACAAGCAAGTCCTCGGTTACCAACTGAACTCTCCAATGCAAGAACAAGATGCATTTCTTCCTTTAAAAGGTGCTATTGTCACGAGAAAAGAAAAAGGTTTCAGGGTTTTTTTTGCATGTGGGCGGGTATTCTGTTTGTAATAACTGTTTGGATACACTATATTTTTAATATGCTAGTTGTGATAATTTCATGCCAAGTAAAAATGTCCATAGTCATATTTTATGTTCCTAAAGTAACAGAATGACTTTCAATCTAAAAAAGACAAAAGAAGTGCTAATGTAGCAATTTTTTCAGTATTTCCAAAAATTTCCGTTTCCCCCCGGAAAAAAACGGGTTTTTTTCTGAGCTTCAAAATTTCCGGAAATTTTACATCTTTACACTTGCCACACTGATTCAATTTGGTTTCCTGATTTTCCTTCAGCCACCTCCAAAGCTTCCCAGCGGAGTCTTCAGTCCGGAATTCCAGGACTTTGTGAACAACTGGTGAGTCTGGTTCTTGGGGCAGAGGTGGAACCTTCAGAAGCAGCCGACTTCCGAGGGCTCGTTTCGGTGCCTGACTCTGAAAGCATCCAGCACCCCTCGTTCACTTGAACGAGACACGCTCTAGCCGGAAGCTCTCTGGCACGAGCCCCAGGGCAGACAGACAGGTGGGGGAGGAAGGCAGGCCTTGGACTTGCCCGTGCATTCACACAATTATTTCTAGCAGACGCGCACTGACACAGCAGCAGAAACCTGACTCCCTTTTCTCCCCCCTCGTAGCTTGATCAAAAACCCAGCGGAGAGGGCCGATCTCAAACAGCTCATGGTGAGTGGAAATCTGCTCCTTTGGTTAAACGTCTGGAGTTCCCGGAGACGTTTCCTGGCCTTTGGAACACCTGAATGCGTGAAGAGAAACCCTCAGCCCAGGAGGATCCCTTGGGGCTCCTCTGGTAGACAGAAACACTCCCGCCGCCCCTACGACAGACACCGTTTCCTTGCTTGCCTCTGGGTAGGAACTGAGCTTCCCCTTTAATGTTAAGGCCGCTCTTTTTTGTTGTTGTTCCAGGTCCACTCGTTCATCAAGAGATCGGATGCGGAAGAGGTGGACTTTGCGGGCTGGCTGTGTTCCACCATCGGCCTCAACCAGCCGAGCACCCCGACCCACGTGGGCTGAGTCTCAGCCATGGGCACTGCCACCAGGAACCCACCGAGTGCTGTCGTCCCGCACCCTTCATTCCACGCGAGACCCGATGGGGACCCGTCGAAACCAACGGGAGCAACGCTTGGTGAATTTTCCCCCATCCCCGAGCCACCCACGTGTCCAAACGACGCTGTTTTGGTCCTGTCTCTCAGAGCTAACGTGTGTTCTCTCCTCCCCGTCACCTCTCCCTAGCACCCTGGCACCGACGAATGATCTCTCTCTACTGTGCATGTGCCAAATTCTTTTCCACGTCAAACTGTCCCCCGCAGTGGGCCTAATCAACGGCTGTTTGGTTTGATGTCTCTTGTTAACTGCCCAATCATGTGATGCTTTTAAGCTAGCAAGATGCCGATTGGGAGTGGATGTCGGCAGTCTGGGGAGAAATCCCACTGGAGCGCCTGCCTCCGTCCCCCTAGGGTGTTTTGGTCTTGAGCCTTTCGTAACTTGGTTGGTACTTTGCTGGTCTCCTGAGCAAAACAGTTGCCCCCCCCTCCTTCCCGCCCTTCGCTTTGGTTCCTGCTTCTCCCAGCCAGAGGCCTCCGTTTGCTCAAAGTGCTCTCACCGAATGTCAGCAGAACCTTCCCTCCGCACGCTTCTCCCCCAACACCACGTTGGGATCCTCCCTATTTATTTCTTTCTCAGTGTCTTGCTGGGTGTTTCAAGATCGCTTCAGTGACGCGCATCTCTCCTCCCGTTAACGAGCCGCCTTGTATTTTGAGCCTGGGCAGCGGGAGAGCCGGCCTCCGACAGAACCCGAAATTTAAGACGCGTGCGCCCAGAGCATCGCTCCCTCTCGCGCTCCCGCTGAAATTTCCGAGACATGACAATTGTGCATACTTTTGTGTTTGAAAAAACCCTTTTGATCATTTTATTCCTTCAGATGTCGAACATTTCCATCTTACACTAATAAATATATTATGAGGTTGCTTCGGGGAATGGATTTTTTTTGTTTGTTTAAAAATAAAATGAGAACAGAGTCAATGTGAATCGCTGTCGGGGTAGTATTAGGAGACGCCAGGCCTCTGTCTCGAAAGTGTTGTCTCTACACCCCACCCCAGCATGTGCTACAGGTACCATTCCCACAGCAGCACCACAAAAAGAGGTAACGGGTACCTATCGGCTGGCTGTTCAAGTGCCTCAGGAGGGGCCCCACACGTTCGGTTAATTCTCCCCCAACAACCTCCCCCCTGCCCCCAATTCATACATCAATGATCTCAATGAAAGTGCGTTGGGACTTCCATCCCAGGGCAGGTTGGTGGGAGCTGTCCTCAGCACCTCCGAGGGCTCTTTTTGTAGCAGGGGACTCCTTTGCATATTAGGCGACACACCCCTAATGTAGCCAATCCTCCAAGCGCTTACAGTAGCCCCTGTAAGAAGAGCTCTGTAAGCTCTTGGAGGATTGGCTACATTAGTGTTACATCACCCAGGGCTCTTTTTGTAGCGGGAGCTCCTTTGCATATTAGGCCACACATCCCTGACGTAGCCAGCCAATCCTCCAAGAGCTTACAGTAGCCCCTGTAAGAAGAGCTCTGTAAGCTCTTGGAGGATTGGCTACATTAGGGGTGTGTGGCCTAATATGCAAAGGAGTCCCTGCTACAAAAAGAGCCCTGGGACACACCCCTAACGTAGCCAGTCCTCCAAGAGCTTACAGTAGCCCCTGTAAGAAGAGCTTTGTAAGCTCTTGGGAGGATTGGCTACGGTAGGGGTGTGTCGCCTAATATGCAGAGGAGTCCCTGCTACAAAAAGAGCCCTGTAAGGACCGTTCTGGCTCATGAAACAGAGTCGCAGAGCCCCAAACCTGCTCCTCAGCGCCGGCAAGCCGGCCTCTTTCCTCTTCTGCTCTAAGCTCGCGCCTGCCCTTGCTTGTGGCATGGCGGAAAGGGGACACGGACGAGGAAGGAAAACTGACCGGCGAGTGACCCCCCCCCCATGTCACTTAAAGCACAGCTGCGACAGGAGAGAGCAGCGAGGCCAAGCACAAACAGAAAGCCAAAAACCCACCCAGAAGTGCTCACGGGCCTCCCATCCAGTTTCCGACACACACACACACCCCTCCCAAATACCTCACGCGCCTGCTGCGTGCAAGGAGACCAGCCGTGTCCCAGGAAAGACAGAGGGCCCCATTCCAGCAAAGCCTGCGCCGTTCCGTAGCTACGGCCACAGCGAGAAGCCGCAGAGGAGACCGGGAAAGTCTCTTCCCCGATTTGTATCACATATCCTGTGCCCCCGCCCCCCCAGCAGTGAAGAATCCAGGGATTTCAAACACTGCCCATCAAAACACTTAAACGTTCCAAGTGTTATACTACAAGCCACGGGTGGTTAGGATTTAGGGATCTTGTTCTAGACTAGCAGTGGTTCCTGGTGGGGGGGTGGGAGGAGAAGGCACCCGAGGGTCCCAGGCTGATTAGCCCCTTCCCTTGGGGGGTGTACGGGATGCCCCGAAGAGGGTGGAGCGGGTGGACAGCAGAGCATCCAGGCTTTTCCACCTATATTTTGTGTGTGTGTGTGTGTGTGCTTTGTGGTATAATGCCTTCAAGGACAAGGTTGCATTATTGCTTTGTGAGCTGCATGGTGCAATTCCCAGGTGCTACTTGGCTGTAATAGTTGTCATTAAAAAAAAAAAATCATGCTACATTAGAATGTGTTCTCCCAACCACTCCTCCCCACAATTGGATCAGCGTCCCTGGAAAATTTTTGGGATACCCAGCGGCGGCCGCGAGCGTCGTTCTGTTTCTGTAGCACCAAAACCAACGACGACGAGAGAGTCTGCTCGAACGGTGGACGGGGAAGTTCCTGAGCGTGGGATGAAAAGGCAGTCTGTCTGCAGCGCGCCTCCCTTTAGGAGTCTGATATTTCCTCCTCCTCTTCCTCCTCCTCCTCTTCCTCCCCAAGATGCAGCTGCAGTGCAGTCTGATTAATAGCGGCTTCGTTGTCCATCTGTCCAAGAGTAAACAGAAGAGAACTCTGGTTAAGGGAGAAGACGGGATGCTTGCGAGTGGAAGCTTTAATAAATGCATTTCAGGTAACGTCAAGTGTCCGTCTCCAACAGAGGCCAGGCAGGGCCTTCGAACTTGCTCTGATTCTCAAGAATGAGAGGCAACTCGTGGAGGCGCGGTGACGTAAGCGCGGTCGGCGCCTGCGGGACAGAGACCAGTGCAACTCATCACGCAGCCGTGCGCCACGGAGGACCATCCTAGGAGAGCTGAGCCGAAGAGAACAGACCTCCGCCGGAAAAACAGACACTACCGCTTGGTTCCAGCAAGACCCGCCACAGAAAGAAATGGTTAAGGGAGAAGACAGGATGCTTGCGAGTGGAAGCTTTAATAAATGCATTTCAAGTAACGTCAAGTGTCCGTCTCCAACAGAGGCCAGGCAGGGCCTTCGAACTTGCTCTGATTCTCAAGAATGTTACGGATACGCTGGGGCCACCCATTCCACGTGCCCGCCCGACACCGTGGCACGAGAGAAAACAATCCCTCTTTCCACAAAGGAGGAGATAAACGCCGCTGAAACGATGGGACAACGGAGGAAACCTTACACCAGCATTCCCTTGGAATCAGTGGCTGACGTCCGGACGCCGCTTTCCCTCCCAGCAGACTTACGTTTTGATGCTCATCCAACAGAGCCGCTGATGATACCGTCATGGTCCCTTCCCTGGCGCTGATCATCGACTGGAGGGCCAGTTCTTCCACCTAGAAACATTTGGTAATCGTGAGTCTCTAAAGGTTAACGGGCCCTTTGGTTATTCCCCACTTTCCTTCCCGATGGGGGACTTCACAGGTAGCTCACAACGTCATTCTCTGTTTTATCCTCACAACAACCCGGTGAGGTAGGTTAGGGTGGTGGCAGTACATAAATGGCCCAAGGTCACTCGGCAAACTTCCATGACGGAGTAGAGGTTCAAACCTGGACCATCGAGACAATAGAATAACCACCACACCAGCCCTGACCTGGGTAGCTTGATCCTGTCAGATCTCGGAAGCTAAGCAGGGTCGGCCTTGGCTAGTATTTGGAAGGGCGACATCCAAGGTACACTAGGGCTGTAATGCACAGGCAGGCTACGGCAAACTATCTCTTGCCTTAAAAACAGGTCCAGCTCGCCACCTAGTGGTGCATAACACTAAAACAGTTCTGGCTGCCAGACAATCTTAGAAGTAGAAGAGATTGGATTTATACTCCACCCTTCACTCGGAGTCTCAGAGCTGCTTACAATCTCATTTCCCCTCCCCTCCGCACAACAGACACCCTGTGAGGTAGGTGGGGCTGAGAGAGCTCTTTCGAGGACTGCTCTTGAGAGAACAGCTCTGAGAGAACTTGTGACTGACCCAAGGCCACCCAGCAGCTGCGTGTGGAGGAGTGAGGAATCAAATCTGGTTCTTCCAGATCAGAGTCTGCACTGCTAACCACTACACCAAACTGGCCCTTAGGATCTCCTGGCTATTCTTCACACAATGCCATACGCTAATTAATTAATTAATTACCACCATACCATACTACCTTAGGCGGCACGCCGTCTGTTGGCCCTGTAACCAATGCTCCCTCTAAGCTGTGGAGTCTTGTGAGCAAAAATTCTGCTTTGTGAGCTACCTGCAGCATTAAAGTTGTAAGCGAGCGATTTGGCTACTGCATAAATTAATTTGCTCTGGAGCCCTCCTCCCTGAGCGAAGGCAAAAATGTGTGAGCTGGAGGCTAAAAATCGTGAGCTAGCTCACACTAACTCAGCTTAGAGGGAACATTGCCTGTAACATGATTGTTTTTTCAAAAGCAAAAGAATTAGGGCGAAGTGGCGTTCGGGCCACACTATCGCTCGAAAGCAACAAGTTCTCTTTTTCTAGGTAAGTACTGAAAATCAGGAAACATTCAAGGAGCACGACGTCAGTAGCAAAAAAATCATCACAAACTCGAAAAGCAGGCAAGTCTGCCCGAATTCTGCCCAATAAAGCTTCATTAGGTAGAGGGCATTCACTGTTTTCGGTAGCTGTGCTAACAGCAGCTTGGAAAAATTTCCAGCGCCTGAAGTGAGAACAAGAATAATTCTCTTTCTGTTAGAATAGGTAGAAGTTCAAGTCAAAGATTCTGAACAGCAACTTACTGGCAGAAGGAAGCCAGGTAGCTTACAGAGGAAAACCAAAACACTCCTTCAAAGAACCATTTAAGTGAAGCAAAAAACCACAAGGGAATTTCCCCTCTGCAAGCCAAACTGTGCACCGGGTGCTAAAATAATCAGCACATAAAGGGGCTAGAAACGTGTTCTTTTTTTTTTTCCATTTTAAAAGAAATCTGCCCAGACAAGAATGCTAAATCCTGCAAGCAAATACTAACCCCACGCTTCCAGAGACGGACTTAACAATCACAGAAGTTGCGCTTGGACTAGGCGGCAGGGGCGCCGAACAATGGCCCGGCCAACATCCGAATAGCACCCAACCAGTCTGCACAAGCCACACTAAGCTTTCGTTCTAATCCCTTCCGGAAAGCGCATTCCGTGCCTATTTATAAGGCTGCCCCTTTGTGTGCGCGTCTGGCTCGATCGCTCCTTCATGCCGCAGTCTTAACACCCCGCGGACAGCTGGGCTAATGCCTGCGAAAACCCCGTGTGGCATCTCGACAAACCCTGCAAACGACAGCTTTGGTGCGAAGCAGTGCGAGCCCTTTTATGGCCACAATAAGATTCCAGGAAGGCCCTTCTGTTTTTCCACGGGTATGCGTGTGCGCTTGGGTCTTCCTAACGTCTCAGAGAAGGGGTTGTCCCCCAGTGGTAGGAAGTCCACCACCACCACCCCTTTTTCGTAAATCTCTGCTCCAAGTTCCCCTGGTCTTTCTGTCAACAGTAGAGCTCTCGAATTCTGACACCTTCTAGTGTGACCAGGATGAATCTCAGTGCAGCTGCTCCTCTTCTTCAGAGGGCGGCTGTGTCGGTCTGTGGCAGAAAAGCTGGATTCAAGTCTGGTAGCACCTTAAAGGTAAAGGTTTCCCTCGCTCCAAAGCCAGTCGAATCCGACTCTAGGGGGCGGTGCTTATCTCCGTTTCCAACCTGAAGAGCCAGCGCTTTCCGGAGACGGTTCCGGGGTCGTGTGGCCGGCATGACTAAACGCCAAGGCGCACGGAACGCTGTTAACCTTCCTATTTACCTACTTGCGGTTTCTTGCTTTCGAACTGCTCGACTGGCAGGAGCTGGGGCCAGAGACGGGCGCTCCCTCTGTCACGCGGCACTCGGGTCTCGAAACTGTCAAGCGACAGACCTTCCGGTTTGCAGCTCGGCGTCTTAACCTCTGAGCCACCGCAACTCCCTGGTAGCACCTTAGAGACCTACAACATTTTTTGGGGTAGGAGCAGGCCCATAGCCAGAAAATTTTGTCTGATTGGGCAGGGGCTAGGGAGCGGGGAACTTAATTAGATTACTAATTAGATTAGATTAGTTCCCTTCCCAGCTTCCCTGACACTTCTGGTCAGTTTCACTCCCCTTCCATCAGCTGTTTGGTTTAACAACTGATCAGAGGGGAGTGAAATTGACCAGAAGGCAGGTCCCTTTCCGCTTCTGGTCAGTTTCATTCCAGCAGATCAGCTGTTAAACCTAACAGCTGGTGGGGGGAGGGCTTCAAATCGACCAGAATTTCAGGGCAGCTTCCCTGTAAGAGCAGGTGAGGCCGCAGAAGGGCACGGGTAAGGAGCGTGGCACAGCAGGAGGGGGGTGGTCTGGGATCGTTCTGGGGTGGGGCAAGGCTCATCCCTGGTAGGGCTCTGCCACTGCCCCCAAATACCCAATACCCCACTAGGGCTAGGGGCCTGGGTATGAGCTTTCAAGAATCAAAGCTCCCATCAGATAGGTATCTGACCAAGAAGAAGAAGAGAAGAGGGTTTCAGAGCGGCTTACGATCTCCTTTCCCTCCCCCTCCCCAAAACAGACATCCTGTGAGTTAGGCGGGGCTGAGAGAGCTCTCTCTCGAAGACTGCTCTTGAGAGAACAGCTCTGAGAGAACTCGTGAGTGACCCAAGGTCACCCCGGAAGCTGCATGTGGAGGAGGAGTGGGGAATCAAACTCGGCTCTCTCAGATTAGAGTCCCTGCTCTTCACCACTACACCAAACTGGCTGTACCAAACTAAGGGAACTCTGGCTCTCAAAACCTTACACGTTGGTTTGAGGACAGCAACAGCTTCCATCATGGCTGGCACCCTTCCTGGACCCCTATCGCTTGAAGGGCCTACCCCCCCCCCGTTCCCATAAGGCACCCACAGGCCAGAAACAGGAGGGAACCATAAATTTTGCCACTTGATTTAATTAATGGATTATATGTTTTGATGGTGGTTTTATTGTTTTTAAATGTGTACAATCGCCTAGAGCCCCACAATCGTGGGGATTAGGCGAGTCAAAAAAATAATAATAATGCAATAAAATACATAAATAAATACCCCAAGAATCTAGTTGGTCCCTGAGATGCTACTGGGCTGGGATTTGTTTTTCTTGTCCAATTCATGGCACGTGCTGCTCACGGCTTTCCAATAAAGCTATCTTTGAATACTGAGAATTCAGTGCCATTTTGGGAGCTGCCTTGAGGATCCCACTGGGAACTGAAGAAATGGAACAAAGGTAAAGGTTTCCTTTGCTCGAAAGCCAATCGAATCCGACCCGAGGGGGCGGTGCTCATCTTCGTTTCCAAGCCGAAGAACCAGCACTGTCCGAAGACGTTTCCATGGTCACGTGGCCGGCATGACTAGATGCACGGAACGCTGTTACCTTCCCACCAAAGTGGTACCTATTTATCTACTTGCAATTTCTTGCTTTTGAACTGCTAGGTTGGAATAGCAAGCTAGAAAGAGAGATGGGTGCATGTGTTGGGGGGGGGGACTGGGAACAAACGGAATGATTGTCCAGCCTGGAGGAAATGTTTGCAGCCTCAGTCCATATAACAGAAGTGCACCAGTCCATGCGTAGAGAGACAGAACACCTGAGCTAAAATGAGCAGAAGGTTTTGCAGAATCAGGAAACTCGCAGCGGTTTAGAGAGAACAATACTGACGGAGCACGTGGGGAAGAAAAACAGCCGAGAAACCATTTGCCTCTTATTTCCATAGCTTCTTATTTACCTCTTATTTCCATAGGCATAAGAAACGCCTTCCTAGATCAGACCAAAGGCAATCAACACTGATATCCCGTTTCAGAAAATCCAAAAGGATTTCTTTATTCATTTATACCCTGCCTTTCTCCTTAGTGGAGAATCCAAGCCGTTCACACTATTTTTCTCTCTATTTTATCCTCATAACAATCGTGCGAGTAGGACAGTCCAAGCCATGACTGGCCCAAGGTCACCCAGCAAGCTTCCATGTCAGAGTGGGGATTCTAACCTGGGTCTCTCTGATCCACGGTATTTTATTTATTAAGATTTATACCCCACCCTCCCCGCAGAGCGGGCTCAGGGCGGCTTACACGGGGCAAAGCCCATATAAAACAGATAAAAGCAATAAAACATTAATGACAATTAATAAAAATTATACTCAATTTAACAAGATGGTCTCCAGGGTGATGTTATCCTATAGCTCAACCAGGTAAATCCAGTGGCCACGCAGAATTGTGGCAGATCTTCTTGGGCCATCCTTAACCCCAATGTTGTCCACCTCATTGGTGGCGGTGGTAGTGGTGGCCTCTATGTGAAAGCCTGGCGGAAGAGCTCCGTCTTACAGGCCCTGCGGAACTGCATAAGGTAACAGCTACACCACAGCTACACCTGACCTAGGATCTAGTGGTATTCAGATGACCTGGCTTAGATGACCCAGGAAGGCAATGGAGTAGGCAGACTCAAGACGTTCCAGCAATGGCTGTTAACTAGAGACTGAGACTGTGATCACACACACTATACAATCCACTTTCCAACAGGATTTTACTGTGTGGACTGGCAACATCCAGTTGGAAAGTGGATTGATTCAGCCCAAGGCAGTCTCATGGGGAGGGGCTGTGGCTCAGTGGAAGAGCCTCTCCTTGGCATGCAGAAAGCCCCATGTTCAATCCCCGGCATGTCCAGTTAAAAAAGGACCAGGCAGGAGGTGATGGGAAAGACCTTAGAGAGTAGCTGCCAGTTTGAGTAGACAACACTGACCTTGATGGACCGAGGGTCTGATTCGGTATAAGGCAGCTTCATGTATGGTTGGGGAGGGGCTGTGGCTCAGTGGCAGAGCCTCTGCTTGACACACAGAAGGTCCCAGGTTCAATCCCCGGCATCTCCAGTTAAAAGGACTAGGGGAAGTATGTGATATGAAAGATCTCTGACCTGAGACCCTGGAGAGCTGTGAAGAGGGCCTGTGGCTCAGTGGCCGAGCCTCTGCTTGGCATGCAGAAGGTCCCAGGTTCAATCCCCGGCCTCTCCCGTTAAAAGGACCAGGCGGCAGGTGATGTGACTGTGGCTCAGTGGCAGAGCCTCTGCTCGGCATGCAGAAGGTCCCAGGTTCAGTCCCTGGCATCTCCAGTTAGAAAAAGACCAGGCAGGAGGTGATGTGAAAGACCTCTGCCTGAGACCCTGGAGAGCTGTAAAGAGGGCCTGTGGCTCAGTGGCAGAGCCTCTGCTTGGCATGCAGAAAGTCCCAGATTCAGTCCTCAGCATCTCCAGTTAAAAAGGA